ATCTTTTACGGTTTACTTTTTAGCGCTGCACAACTTTTATACATATTTTTATCTGAAGGTTTGTGGTCTCCTTTTATTGCACAGCTGCTTTTACCATTATAAGCGCTCGCTGATATTTTACACATCCATATATTTTTTTGCTGTAAGTGCAATGCCTTGTTTTATATCATTCAATAAATGGTTTTACACTATGGAAGCTTCCCTTTTCTGAAATTACATATGGTCCGTATAGAGAAGAACCTTTACTAGCATAGTATGCAGACTACAGATTGGGAGAACACTGCACCAGTCCAACATTGTGCAGTAAGGATTGACAAAGCGATTTTGACCTGCTTACCCAGTGGGCAAATAGTTGGGGTGAGTGCAGTCACTGCAGGGGGAGCACGCGTGGAATCACTGATTCACAAGTTTACTGTATAGAGCATGTTCACAGTAGCACTATAATCACTGCATACAACATTGGAACTGTTTTCACAAGTGGAAGGGGCATTGTAGTCCAGAGGACTTTTTGTGGTTTTCAGCATTTTGAAGGACTCATTTAATGTTGTGTTTATTGTATAATTACCATGTACACACTGAGGGGGGAGAGGTATTGTAGCACGGTCCTGGGAATTTGATTACTTTCAAGTATATTGGTTTATGAGGTAACAGCCACCTACACGGTATAGTCACTCGGCAAGTGTGTCACAGCATTAGTACTTTTTATACATGACAATTTTATTTATGATAATTCTATTCACTAGGCTTTTGCATGGTAAGAAATATAACTTCAATTAGCAAGCATTCACACACATATAATTTATTTTGCCAAGGGGGAGGTGTACTGTAGCACTTTCCTGACACTAGATATTTAGGTTCCCACAGGGAATGTGGTAACACTTGTTTATGAATTACTGGTGAATGAAGTGAGGTAGCGCTGCACCTTTTTGTACATTTTGCTCACATATTCTTATTGCGTTTGCGGTAGGTGTTCAGCAGCCGCCCATTTTCTAGATTTTAGGCTACATTGCGCAGATTCCTTATTTTCACAAACTGAACATGTGTACCTAACAAACTGGCCAGAGAGTGTATATACCCTTGTTGTGAAGAGGTTATAACAGGATCATGGCTGCAGCTGCATTTCAGGACATGGATGGGGGCTTTTAAAGGGTACAGGAGGACCCCCTCCCTCCCATTCCTGGGCACTCTGATGTGATCAAGGAGCCTGGGACTGTTGCATCCTGTGTGGTCAGCTGCAGAGGAGGGGAAGGTACTTCCAAGCTTTCACGTCCTTTGTAGCGAATGAAGCCTGAAGCGATGAGGATTTATTCACTTCCAGTTTCTTGTTTGTTTTTACTGGCTTGTAGAGTATCTGATCAAACTGACCTTGTGATAGCAATAAAGTTGATCCATTAAAAATATAAACAGTGTAAAAAAAAAAAAAAATGTAAAGAGGTTTTTAAAGCGCAAATTCCTCCCCCCAAGCTCACATGCAAATATGAAACATACCTAGGTCCTGCATTTATATGTAAACACATTTGAGGTTTAATATATAAACAGCGCAAAATAGACCTGAATACAAATATTAATAAGTCACACAATATAAATGTCCCATATTAATTAGTGCATATATATATATATATATACAGTCAGGTCCATAAATATTGGGACATGGACACAATTCTAACATTTTTGGCTCTATACACCACCACAACGGATTTGAAATGAAACGAACAAGATGTGCTTTAACTGCAGACTGTCAGCTTTAATTTGAGGGTATTTACATCCAAAGCAGGTGAACAGTGTAGGAATTACAACAGTTTGCATATGTGTCTCCCACTTGTTAAGGGACCAAAAGTAATGGGACAGAATATTAATCATAAATCAAACTTTCACTTTTTAATACTTGGTTGCAAATCCTTTGCAGTCAATTACAGCCTGAAGTCTGGAACGCATAGACATCACCAGACGCTGGGTTTCATCCCTGGTGATGCTCTGCCAGGCCTCTACTGCAACTGTCTTCGGTTCCTGCTTGTTCTTGGGGCATTTTCCCTTCAGTTTTGTCTTCAGCAAGTGAAATGCATGCCCAATCGGATTCAGGTCAGGTGATTGACTTGGCCATTGCATAACATTCCACTTCTTTCCCTTAAAAAACTCTTTGGTTGCTTTTGCAGTCTGCTTTGGGTCATTGTCCATCTGCACTGTGAAGCGGCGTCCAATGTGTTCTGAAGCATTTGGCTGAATTATGAGCAGATAATATTGCCCGAAACACTTCAGAATTCATCCTGCTGCTTTTGTCAGCAGTCACATCATCAATAAATACAAGAGAAGCAGTTCCATTGGCAGCCATTTTGCCCACGCCATGACACTACCACCACCATGCTTCACTGATGGTGGTATGCTTAGAATCATTTTTCCTTCTCCATACTCTTCTCTTACCCCATCATTCTGGTAGAAGTTGATCTTGGTCTCATCTGTCCATAGGATGTTGTTCCAGAACTGTGAAGGCTTTTTTTAGATGTCGTTTGGCAAACTCTAATCTGGCCTTCCTGTTTTTGAGGCTCACCAATGGTTTACATCTTGTGGTGAACCCTCTGTATTCACTCTGGTGAAGTCTTCTCTTGATTGGTGACTTTGACACACATACACCTACCTCCTGGAGAGTGTTCTTGATCTGGCCAAGTGTTTGTGAAGGGTGTTTTCTTCACCAGGGAAAGAATTCTTCGCTCATCTACCACAGTTGTTTTCCGTGGTCTTCCGGGTCTTTTGGTGTTGCAGCTCACCGGTGCGTTCCTTCTTTTTAAGAATGTTCCAAACAGTTGTTTTTTGGCCACACTTAATGTTTTTGCTATCTCTCTATGGGTTTGTTTTGTTTTTTTTCAGCCTAATAATGGCTTGCTTCACTGATAGTGAAGCTCTTTGGATCTCATTTGAGAGTTGACAGCAACAGATTCTAAATGCAAATAGCACACTTAAAATTAACTCTGGACCTTTTATCTGCTCATTGTAATTGGGATAATGCGGAAATAACACACACCTGGCCATGGAACAGCTGAGAAGCCAATTGTCCCATTACTTTTGGTCCCTTAAGAAGTTGGAGGCAATATGCAAACTGTTGTAATTCCTACACCGTTCACCTGATTTGGATGTAAATACCCTCAAATTAAAGCTGACAGTCTGCAGTTAAAGCACATCTTCTTCATTCAATTTCAAATCCATTGTGGTGGTGTGTATAGAGCCAAAAATGTTAGAATTGTGTCCATGTCCCAATATTTATGGACCTGTTTTTTTTCTGAAGATTTTTTTTTTGATATATACAAAGTCCCTTGTGATGAAAATTCCAAAGATGTTTAGGTTTAAGATGTGGAAGGTTTATAAACATCTTTGGAATCTTCAGTTTTCATCACAAGGGACTTTATGGTTTTTTCTGAAGATTTTTTGATATATATATATGCACTAATTAATATGGGACATTTATATTGTGTGACTTATTAATATTTGTATTCAGGTCTATTTTGCGCTGTTTATTTATATATTTTACTGTTTGTGTTTTCACACATTTTTTGCACAGCAGCAATTTAGAAGGGTGATTCACTTATTTTGATTGGCGCAAGAATATTTTTCTTTTGTTTACATTTGAGGTTTCATCATGAATGTCAGAGTGAGAGCAATAATTCTAGTACCAGACCTCCTGTTTAACACTAAACTGGTAACCTGTAAAGGCTTTTATGGCTAGCCGTGGTCACAAAGGGCAACTCTTATCAAATGTTTTCATGCTTTATTTATGGACTGTGTTAAAGTTGAAATAATTTAAAACAGGAAAAGAAAAATGTTTCTGGTTCTCTTTCGTCATTCCTAACACACACTGCTTACAAGAAAAAAAAAAATCCTCCAGTTAGAATCAGAGTGTACATGGCATTTAAATCGTGTGCTTGATATTTCTAATTTGGGAGCTGCAATAGCACCTGAAACGAAGAGTGGATTCACCTTGGATCAATCTGCATTTAGTGTGTTTTTTTTTTTTTTTTTTTTTTCAGAACCCAAAGAAAGTTTTCTGAGCTGGGGCTAAGTTCATGGCAAAGGCCTGAAAATGTATGTAACATTATATTCTTTCATTCTTTCCAATGATGCAGTCAAATTACAAAAAAAACCAGGCAACAGCAAATAGCTTTAACTTCCATTATGAAATAGTGTTTTCCTTTAAAAGGAATGTATAGTATTTTGTAATATCCAAGACGTGATCTTATCTAGCAGACACAAGGAAGAAAGATAGTGGCATTTTATTTACCATTTACTTAAAACTCTGCCCTGGCGTTACAACTCATGCCTTCCACAGTATTTGCACCATGTTTGTGGGTGCTGTGAGTGTCGGCATCGCTCATTCAACAAAGAAACCGCTCTGTTGGCATACTATCCACAGCACACACAGGACTTATGCATGATGTATTATTTGTAGTTTAATAGTATCAAGGGGCATGACCTAGACACCAAAAACAATTAGAGCATAGAATCACGTTCGCAAAACTCAGAACCTTGCATAGTTGCATCTCTCCTTGGCTGTAGCAGAACCAAAGCACATCAGACTGTCTTTGGACTTGAGCTGAACATATTAAACCCAGCGGGTTTTACAAAATTCCTGCTAGGTTATGGTCAGGCTGAAGTAAGGAAATCGCCAGAAGGCTGACCTGAGGTTTGCATTTTATTTTATTGTCTGTGGTAACATAAAAATCCCTTTGCACCCATCCTGGGATTTCTTTCTATTTCAATACCCTATCCCACTATACAAACTAAGGAATTCTCACATTTCCTTTTTTTTTTTCTTTCTTTTTTTAGTCTTGGTTGTGGGAATGTTGTGTTGATTCTGTACCTGCATTCAGTTCTTCTAACAAAAAGAGAAAAAGAATAGGAAGTTTAAGTCAAGGGTTTATTTTAATATAAAATAATTTACTGAAACAATAATATCTAAGTAACATCTCTACAAGTTCACTTTTTTCTCTGAAATGTGAAAAATCCATTTTTTGTCACTCTCGAATCTCTCGAACTATAGCTTCCATGTGAAGGACCTTCAAAGCTTCAGAGATCTGAGGGCTGGTGTCCATCTGCCCATACATTCCCACCAGGAAAGCTCTGTGTAGAAGTACAGCCGCGTGCTCTGCAAGAAGATGCAGTACAAGAGTTATGACGCTAACATTAGAAGTACATTGCTGAATAAAATAGATAAGAAAGATAGGACTGAAATATGGTAATGGCTTGAATTGGAAAATTACAATACTTTTGGCTAGATGTCGATGTGAAATGGCAGGTGGAAGATCCAAGTTCTAGAAGAATGGTCTGTACAGTTCTCATGGTATACACCTGCACAACTGCCTTGGTTGAACATGCAAGTTTATGCAAATATCCCTGGAACAGACCCATGGAAGCTGCAGCAAATCTTTCAGAAAAATAATTTCTGGATGATTATTGCTGCCTGATAAAAGGGCTGGTTTAGAGCTCCGAAACGATGCTGTACCTATGTGACAAATAAAGAAAGTCTAGTAGGAGCAGATGAGGTGCTGGTGATACATGTTTGTGCTTATATTATCACTCTGTGATCAGTGATGGACCAAACAGTCCCGTGTTCGGTCCGCGGTCGAACCTAATGAATGTTCAACTTCGAACTCAATGCAGGTCATGGGATTCAAACTTCTAAATTCAAAAGTGCCTATTTTGAAGGCTTATATGCAAAATATATGCCATAAAAGGGGCATGGGGACTCGGGTACTGCCCTGCGGGACATGAAGCAGTGTACCAATAAATTGCAAAAAGTACAGTTTTTAAAGGGGCAGTCATTTTTCATTGCTTAAAGTAAAAAAAAAAAAAAAAAAGCGTGGGGTCCCCCCCCAATCCTTACCAGACCTTTCAGGTCTGGTAGGAAGGTTAGGGAGGACCCCACAGTGAAAAATGTAAAAAGAAAGGTGCGTGATGTTCCTTCTAAAAGCAATACCAAGCCCCTTAGGCCTGGCAGGTCATTTGAGAACCCCACCCACCAAAAATGGGGAGGGAAGTGCATGGGTTTCCCTGTAAAAGCCATATCAGGCCCTTTAGGCCTGGTAAGACTTTTAAGGGGAACCCTACCCCCAAAAAATGGGGGGGGGGGGGGGGGAGGCGGGTATGAGGTCCCCCCTAAATTCCGACCAGACCCTTGATCTGAGCACAGGACTGGCAGGGCAGGAAAGGAGAGGGGCTTACCAGGCCACGTGCCCTCGGAATTAGGACGATGTCCCCATGTTGATGTCACCATTTGCTCCGCCCAATTGTGCTGAGATTGGACAAAACATTGCACCTGACCTATGGTCAGGTGCATTGCTTTGGCCAATCATGACTCTCACAATGCACTGAGAGCACAGTGCATTGCGGGGCACGGCAGGCGAACAGCCAATGTTCGACTCGAACATCAAGCCCATCCCTATCTGTGATATATCAATACAGCACTCAAACACAGCTGGAGTGCACCATATCTCCACATTCAAGTGATCACACTACAACCTCCGCTGATGCCCCAAGGCTGAGATCTTGCTTAACAGAGTGACCTGGATCCAGTGACATTCCTCTCATCTCATTGAGTAACTTAAAGTGTATCTAAAGTCCAATTCTTAATCATTTTGGTAAGTGCAGGGAATAGTTATAACCCAGTTTTTCCCACGAGTGTCCCAATAAAGAAATTTCCTCTCACTTTCTGTTGTCAGGGAAAAGTGAGGGAAATTGCCTTTTGAAAAGCTGTCACAGAAACAGGTGTCCCATAGGAAGATTTAAACTAGCTTTCTGTTCTAGTGATAATACAAAGTTTTAGGTTTTTCCTCACTTTAAATCTCCCTTTGAATCTCTCCGATGGACGTTCTAACCCCCCCCACCACTCTATCCAAACTGAAAAGGCCTGTTTACACCCACTTTGTATATGACAGATAAAAGAATATAAGACTGTGCTAGCATTTGGTGGCATGTACAGCAATGTTTGAAGGTGGCTACTAACACCAAGCCTTAGCCCTAACTCTTCCAGTCTAATATGCTAGTCGTCCCACCATAACGGACGAACTGCAGGCACACAGAACTTAAAGTGGAGTTCCACTCAGTCTGTAAAAAAATAAGTCAGCAGCTACAAAAACTGTAACTAAAAACAAAAACTAAAAAAAAAAACAGCCACTCACCTGTCCCACGATCCCGCGTTGCCCCTGCCGCAGCCTGTTTCACCGGCCATCCTGTATTCCAGACGCCGGCACCTTCAGTGTGGGCACCCGGCTGTGCCCACTGCACATGCACAAGTAGTGCTGCGCTTCCTGAATGGCCCTGTCATCTTCTGGGACCTGTCACGTGTCTCACAAGACTATAGGGAGGGAGGGTAGGAGGACAACTTCCGCTTCCGATCACCTAGGATATTGCAGCGGAAGTGGGAGCGGGTACCTGTCAATTTTGGGCACCTGCACCCCCCCAGCTCCTGAAAGGTGCCAATACTTAATGGGGAGTGGGGGACCAACCGGAACTTCCCCTTTTGGGTGGAACACCGCTTTAAGTAGGACTTCAGCCTGACATTTGCAAAATTTGCCAAAACCTTCTTAGGTAGAACCAGATGCGGTGTCTACCGCTCCCATCCTCCCCTCCTTCACAATATGATTCTAACTGAAGCACAGGTACAATTTAAACAGAGCTTTCACCATCAATTAATATTATATAGTGACGTGCTAAAACTAGAGCCATCAGAAAACAATAAACAGTATTTACAGAGTGTCGAAACATGCTTCCTTTCCTCAGACTCGGCCACATAAGCACTAATGGAATGGATCGTAGGATTAACCCATCTGAGCACCTTCTGTGTGTAAAACACTGACCCTCACGTGAGTCAGTGAAAAGGTTCAGAGCCTGCAATAAGACTGCTGTCACCATGTACACTTGGTCTCTGTGGTCTGATCTCCTTCCATTCTGTGTGTAATGGATAACAAGGGAAGTTTTATTGAGCAGATCTTACCTTGGCATAACAGTATATACCCGCCAGGTTATTCAGTGCAGTTTGTACCACTTCAGAGTCTCTACTGCCAAGACAGTACATAAAGGTAGGCAGAAAATCTGCAGCAATGCTGGAAAAAACATAAGGATCAATCAGTAACAAGCTATGTGTTTTAAAAAAATTCCCCCAACCCTCTACAAGTTAAGTACATGTGGAATAATGTGGACAACCTTCTTTTGTCATGACCTAGCTAAGAAGGATTCAGTAGGGTGACCTTGTTATTCTTTCCTAAAAAGTAAAACCTAACAAGTAATGCTGAAAAGGTATTCTGCACTCCTACATCTTCCTGCCATAGGGTGAAAACACTGCTTCTCCGTAGATACAATGAGTGAAAGTTGTCACCCTAAGTCAGAAAGTGTGTTATTGGCAGGATCACCAGCTGGAAATAAAAAAACAAAAAGTCTGAAAAAATAATCTACTTCAATACATCTAAAGACTGGCAAGCTGCCATACAGAAATTGTTTGTGGGTGTCTAAAGATGATGTGAGCCCAAGCTGCTGGCTCTAACAAGTTATATTTCAGGCACAGAGTATTTGACAAGCTGTTTTAAAATGAATAAAAACGGTGAAAATACCTTTTTTAGACATTCATAATATTACTATTTGTGTGATTCAATCTATGCAGGATGAGTGTAGTGAGTGGTGAGAACTCACAACTCTATGTCACTTCTTGGAGTTTCACTATCTTCTCCTCGACTTCAGCTTTCTGAAGTCCATGCCACAGGATGAAGCACACCCTTTGTCCATCACTTTCTGGCCCTCACTGAGATAGAAGGCACAGACAAGCCTGTGCCCTCACAGCAGGAGTGCGCATACCACCTCTGCATTGTAAAGCTAAGAATACTGTCACCTAGGAAATGGAAGCACAAATTTTCCAGCAAGATTATATGAATAATGAGATTTAAAGAAAAATATCTATAAGGGCTGGAGAGTGCACGAGCTGTTACAAATTCATTTTATTGATGGGGTGTACATACAGTGAGGAACAGAAGTATTTGAACATCCTGCGATTTTGCAAGTTCTCCCACTTAGAAATCATGGAAGGGCCCCGATACGATTGTCCATGCAGACCTGTTTGTTGGGGGCCCATATCCCAGGGGTCTCTGATGCCAATCTGAGATTGATACACACATTATGTATTGCCACTTTATGGTCTATTGCCCTACATTGGAGGTCCAATGTTGTACCCTTAGACTCCGTTTTACACAGAATTGACACTGTAATGCTTATGGAACGCATTCATTATACCCTACTGGATAAGCTGCACTTATACGATAAAAAATGGGAGCCATGGAGAGATTGCAGACACTTATTACATGCTTAATAACATCCCCAGTAAAAGTTGGCTGGCATGTACTATTGACAGGTGTATCACCTAAACTATTTTGTCGTTTACGTACTTCATGCACTTGTAACTTCCTCTTTTTTTTCTTATCTTCTTTGTTATGTTAATATACCTTTATGTATTGTACTTTTCAAAAGTGCCTTGTTTTTGCTGACAATATCACTTTTAAAGTGTGCTGTTGTTCAACTGTCTACTCTTGTACAATAAAATCGTTTGTAAACAAAAAAGAAATCATGGAGGGGTCTGAAATTCACATTGTAGGTGCATTCCCTCTCTGAGAGACAGAATTAAAAAAAAATTCAGGATATCACATTGTATGATTTGTAAAGAATTTATTTGTCTTGCACTGCTGAACATAAGTATTTGAACACCTAAGAAACAGATAACAGGTCTTTGAGAGCCAGAATTCTTGCGGTTTCTCATGTGTTCAAATACTTATGTTCAGCAGTGCAAGACAAATAAATTCTTTAAAAATCATACAATGTGATTTCCTGAATTTTTTTTATTTATTCTGTCTCTCAGAGTGGGAATGCACCTACAATGTGAATTTCAGACCCCTCCATGATTTCTAAGTGGGAGAACTTGAAAATCGCAGGTGTTCAAATACTTCTGTTCCTCACTGTACACTTTAGGAAAATTAAAAACAAAAACAACATACACATATATCTGCAACACATGCACATTTCTCTGTGTTTAAGTACAGAAAAAAAACATGTTGATCTGCAAGAAATAAATCCCACTCCACTCTCAAGTCCTGTTGTGGGCTGACAACACAGTATTTTTGGTCAGGCCTAGCTGTCTGCCTGCATTTCCAAAATGATCCACAGGTTTAGTTTGCATCAAACAAACATACCAAGATGGTTTCACCTGTATATTTAACAGGCCAAAAGGGATCAAATAAGACGTTCATTGTAGGTGTACATTTTTTATCATCATAGTTCAGGGTCAAATTGGTCTGATCCAATTTTTGAAAAAAAAAAAATCTATTGCAAAGCACAAAAAAATGGTTTGTATTCATGTACCTAGATGTAGGGCATACGGACCCTAAGTAAACACTTTTACATTTGTAAAAAATACTTGTAACTCGTGAGATACTTTGTAAATGTTGTTGCAGTGTAGAAGTTAAAGCAGAACTCTGGGCAAAGACTTTTTCCCATGTCCTTTTTGCTGAGTTCCTACCTTCACCGAATATGTCCTCCAACTTCTGTTTCACTCAGTAGTTGCTTTAAAATAGGCAGATGATTTTCAAATGAAACCATTATTTCTCTTTGTTTTCCTGTTTGTAAGACAGTGGCTGCTATTCCTCCTATGCCTCCAGCCAGCGGTCTTGGCACTTCCCATTTGTAGTTCTATGCAGCCAGCAGGGATGTGCTTCCATCCCTGCTTGCTGTAGTGGGCAGAACAGGATTCACAGACCACTGATCTGTACCGCCCATAGGTGGTGTCTTAGAGATGACAGCTCAGGAGCTCTGGGTCTGTCCAGCCTACTCTTTCCCAGTGGCATATCATCCGACACAAAAAGAAATCAAGAAGGGGAAATGTAATTCTGAAAATTACATTGTGCCGTGTGCCTGTTAATGTCCTGCCCTCTGTCAGGTTCCTGTCAGTGCCCCCTATCACACAGCAGCTGCCTCTGTTCCGATGTCAGTGCCCCTGTCACACAGCAGTCGCCTCTGTTCCGATGTCAGTGCTCCGTCACACAGCAGCTGCCTCTGTTCCAATGTTAGTGCTCCCTGTCACACAGCAGCCGCCTCTGTTCTGATGTCAGTGTTCCCTGTCACACATCAGCTGCTTCTGTTCCGATGTCAGTGCCCCCTATCACACAGCAGCTGCCTCTGTTCCGATGTTAGTGCTCCCTGTCACACAGCAGCTGCTTCTGTTCCGATGTCAGTGCTCCCTCATCACACAGCAGCCGCCTCTGTTCTGATGTCAGTGCTCCCTGTCACACACAGCAGCCGCCTCTGTTCTGATGTCAGTGTTCCCTGTCACACAGCAGCCGCCTCTGTTCCGATGTCAGTGCTCCATGTCACACAGCAGCTGCTTCTGTTCCGATGTCAGTGTTCCCTGTCACACAACAGCTGCTCTCTGTTCTGATGTCAGTGCTCCCTGTCATGCAGCAGCAGCAGCCTCTGTTCCGATGTCAGTGTTCCCTGTCATGCAGCAGCAGCAGCAGCAGCGCAGCAGCCTCTGTTCCGATGTCAGTGTTCCCTGTCACACAGCAGCAGCCTCTGTTCCGATGTCAGTGTTCCCTGTCACACAGCAGCAGCCTCTGTTCCGATGTCAGTGTTCCCTGTCACACACAGCAGCTGCCTCTGTTCCGATGTCAGTGCTCCCTGTCACACACACAGTCAGTGCTCCCTGCCAGCTGTCTCTGTTCCGATGTCAGTGCTCCCTGTCACACAGCAGCTGCCTCTGTTCCGATGTCAGTGCTCCCTGTCACACAGCAGCTGCCTCTGTTCCGATGTCAGTGTTCCCTGTCACACAGCAGCTGCCTCTGTTCCGATGTCAGTGTTCCCTGTCACACAGCAGCTGCCTCTGTTCCGATGTCAGTGCTCCGTCACGCAGCAGCCGCCTCTGTTCTGATGTCAGTGCTCCCTGTCACGCAGCAGCTGCCTCTGTTCCAATGTCCATGTTCCCTGTCACACAGCAGCTGCCTCTGTTCCGATGTCAGTGCTCCCTGTCACACAACAGCTGCTCTCTATTCTGATGTCAGTGCTCCCTGTCATGCAGCAGCAGCCTCTGTGTTCCCTGTCACACAGCAGCTGCCTCTGTTCCGATGTCAGTGCTCCCTGTCACGCAGCAGCCGCGTCTGTGCTGATGTCAGTGCTCCCTGTTACACAGCAGCTGCGTCTGTTCTGAAATTTCACCATTCATACACGTTCTTGCCGTGTTACTAAATGCAGCATGTTTTGTGAATGGGGGTGAGGATGCTGTCATTCATCTGCCTCTCCTCCATTCACACAGCACACTGAATATAGTAAATACAATGCGAAAGCTTTTTTTTTTTAATAGAGGACAGGACAGAAAGGGTCGATCAGCCATCAGGACTTCTACAATGCACTGCTATGTTAGACCTGAGGCAAATAACTCATACAGCTCTAAAGTTCAGAACTGTGAAGAAGAACCTATCATTGCTGGATTAAAAATGTTTATACCAAAGTGCAATAAGTGGACATGGGATACACTTCATTACAGGCAAGTTATGTGACTGAAAGTGGTCCCCCTCATATCTCATGTCATAATGTGCTAGTATGCATCTCATGTTAGCACATTATGACAGACTTACCTAAAAAACAGAGCCCTTCAGCAGCATGCTGTCACAGCTGACAGGGATTCCATCTTCTTCCTGGGATTGTGGGCTCTGGTCATTTGAGTGGCCGAGCCGCGATGACATCACTCCTGTGCACTGCTGCGGCACAGCACTCTTAATGGACGGCATGCCATCCATTAAGAGTGCAGTGCGCATGAAGATGGTGACATCACTGGCTGCTACATATGTAATTATCTGCTAAACTGCATGTTTAGGAGATATGCACTGTACCTATAGGTCAGCCTTATTATAGGCTTACCTGTAGATACAAGATAAAAAGCAGACTTTACTATCGCTTGAAGCTTTAGCCCTCCCCCCTCCAAAAAAATAATTTTTTTTTAAACTAAACTTCAGCTTTCATAAGCACAACTATAGATTATTTAGCAACAGAAGATGCACACACAATTTCAAACAAATCCTCCACTATACGAGAGACCAGTGACAACCTGAATCTATAACAAAGCATATCTGTCTCACTCACCTGGGATTACACTGAATGGAGCGCAGGGCCAGGGCGAAGGCCAGATTGCGACACGATTCCTCTGTGGAGCTCATGAGCCTCTGAAAATCACTCTGTGAAAACAAAGAGGAACAAGCACATTGGCCTCGCTGCATCTTCAATCAGAAGAGTTCACTGTGTGCAGCATTGATTCTCCCCCACACTGAGTTCACAGGATCACAGACATGCAGCTCCTCACACTGTTCCCTTGTTACATTCTACAAGGACTCCACAAGATGGAAGTATTCCCTGCAGTGTGAATGTGAGGCCCAGAGTCCAGGACCAATAAAGGGAGGTTTAAACAATTACAGGCTGCTCACTTCAAAGGCAGTTCCTCTAACAGTTTCAAGTTAACACTAGAAAGTCAAATAGAAAAGAATTGCCAAGACAAAAACATTTTATGTTAAAAAATGAAAATGCTACGTAAAGCTGGAGTTTTAAAGTGCACCCCCACCTTAAAGCTCATTCAAGCTTTAAAGGTGGATTTGAACTCAAAAACTGGATATTAAAAGCAACATCTAAGAAGGTTACACAGTACCTTAAAAGGGTATCTTTAGTTTTAAATTCTCCTTGAATGATAGTGTACTTTATGTGCCTATAGACACAAAGCTGTTTTGGGTGTGAAATTATCTAAGGCACGGCTGTCTCTGACGGCTGGTTTCAGCAGATTTGGTAATGTCACTACTGAACCATTCACTGTTTTCCTTGCTGGAGGGAAAGCTGCAGTGAAAGGGTTTCTCTACTTCCACTTCTTTGATTCTGTCAGTTTGTGCTTCTTGAACCGCTCCTGCTGCTTTTTGATTATTGATTTGCAACCTTTTCCTACTTAAAAGTGTTCTTTTTTTTCTGCATATCTCCAATGACAGAAATATACCTGGAGAAGAACACATACAAGTGATAAAAACCTAACCGAAGTTCCACTCTTCCCCACTCTGTCCAAGACTAGCGACAGAGTCCCTTTATGGAGTTCGCTTCAAATGTTTCTTTTTGGGGTTTACTGAAGCGCTCGAACCATGCTACTGTATTTTATAGGCACTTTTAAACATCCATGGATGGTAAAATTAGAACTTTTATCCCCCATTTCATTTTTCCTATAAACATGATCTCTAAAATGCTTTATAGTGCAAACAGAATAGCTAATCGTTTATACACAGAGACAGCAAGTTTATAGACAACCACACATTCATATAGATGAAGCCTGTTCCAACAATAAAAATACAATTGACTATCTTCATGTGGTTAAGAGAACAAGTGTTCTTCAAATAAAAATGAGTACCTTCATTATTAGCACAAAATATTACAAAGAATGAAAGAGCAAAGACTGGGTCTTTTCACACAGGGATGTGCCGCTATGTTTAGTAGGGAATCCATGCACAGTACCCCTGCTGAATCTGAGCTCAACGGGATGGATGTCACATTTTGTGACATTTGTGCCCATTCCCTTTTTTGTCTGAATTTTGGTAATAGACGCTGGCGGACCTGTGCAGGTCGCTGGACGTAAACAGACTTATTAACATCAGGCTACGTCCGATCTGTTACAGTTAGGTCAGGAACAAAGGAGCATTTATTTTCCATTTTTTTTGTTTCTGGACCTGGATAGACTCAGAGGTAGGCAGATGTAAATGGATGCTCGTCCCTTTACCTCTGCCTGCCTACTGACTTGCATGGGGCTTCCAATCAGGTCCACCTGAAAAACTGCCAAGAGGACCATAGGAAAGCCTAGGTGAAAGGACCCTTATTTAGACACCCACATAAAAGACAAAAAGCAAACAATGGAAAGCGGGCATAAAGGGATTCTCCAGTGCATTAAAAAATGGACTATGTTTAACAAACTCCTACTGGTAATAAGCCAAAGGTGATGGTGAAAAGGGGTCTAAGGCTAGTCATACAAGCCAAACAGATTTCTCCATCCATGCTAACAGCGTGGGAGGAAGAATTTGCACTGTCAACTATTGTATTCAAGAAGCTGCAGCACCCACAGTCATGGTTTTGCTCACAATTTTTCACTCGTCTACTTTGATTTTTTTTTTAAATCGGCTTTTGCTGAACCAGATGGAGACAACAAGCAACCCACAGCTCAAATTTCAGGTGATTATGCAAGCATTAAGCAAAATTTGAGATGTGTATGGCAAGCTTAATACAACTGTTCATGGTTAGGAAAGAGCATGTTGGCACAGATGCCTGAGAGTAGTCCTATTATGGCCACATGCCTATTTATCATTTAGTGTCTCTGACTTTCTCAAAAAGAACATAGTTTATTTTTTTCTACACGTGAGGTATATGACATCATCAGTTAAATATAAACAATCTTTTCAATGTGCGCTAAAACTCGAGTATCCTTTGTAATTATATATGTACATCTGGGGCGGCCAAATTTGCTTGTTACATACACATGCTCTATTTATTATTATTATTATAATACAGTATTTATAAAGCGCCAATAGTTCACTCAGCGCTGTACATTACAAAGGGGGACAGAACATGTGACAGAACAACAATACAATGCAAAACATGAGGGGATCGAGGGCCCTGCGCTTTCGAGCTTACAATCTAGGAGAGAGGGGATGGTGGCACAGGAGGAGATAGCTGTGGGGGATGGAGTGGTAGGAAGAGTGGAGGAGGTCGGCAAGTTAGCAGGGGGTTGGGTAGGCTTCCCTGAAGAGGTGGTTTTCAGGGTGCGTCTAAAGGAGAGGAGAGGAGAGTAGGTGATAATCTGATTGGTTGGGGCAGGGAGTTCCAGAGGATGGGGGACACCCTGGAGAAGTCCTGGAGGCGGGCATGGGAGGAGGAGACCAGGGAACTAGAGAGAAGGAGGTCTTGTGAGGAGCGGAGTGTGCGTGCTGGGTGGTACTTGGATATTAGGTCAGTGATGTAGTTCGGGGCAGTATGGTGGTTGGCTTTGTAAGTCAGTGTTAGGATTTTGAATTTGATCCGTTGCGCAATCGGAAGCCAGTGGAGGGATTGGCAGAGGGGGGTGGCGGATACAGAGCAGTTGGAAAGGTGGATGAGTCTGGCAGCCGTATTCAGGATCGACTGAAGCGGGAATAGCCAGCGGCGAGGCAGGCCAGTGAGGAGGGAGTTGCAGTAGTCGAGTCGTGATGTGATGAGGGAGTGGATGAGCTGTTTAGTGGTTTCTGGGGTTAGGAACGTGCGGATTTTGGCGATGTTGCGGAGGTGGAGTCTGCATGAGTTTGTTAAAGATTGGACTTGGGGCTGGAAGGATAGGTTGGAGTCCTGAATGACACCAAGTACTCTGGCCTGCGCGGCGGGTTTGATGGTGGCGTTGTTGGATGTGACGGAGAAGTCAATGGGGGGTGGTGTCCGGGGGGGGGAAGACAAGAAACTCGGTTTTGGAGAGGTTCAGTTTAAGGAAGTGGAGCGACATCCAGTCTGATATGTCGCTCAGTAGGTGTGTGATTCGGAGGGAGACTGAGGGGGTGAGGTGGGGGGTTGAGAGATAGATTTGTGTTCTCACTTTACAATTCTACACAATGTTTCTGCTCCACTAATATCTTGTGGGCCTAGCACAAATATAACAGAAATATAAAGTCTTTATGATTACTTTTACATATATATTCATATATGTAAATAATATTATCAAAGTTAAGGTCTTAAAATGTAGTTTCTTTAGCCATAATTGCTCATTACATACTCAGGCTCTACTTTCTGCTTTGCGATGCTACACAGTGACTTTGCTTCACCGCTCCTTTTCTCAAGATTCAAGTCTATATGTCAGTCAGTTGGCATACTGTAAACAATGCATTGCCTGTGTGGCTATCTTGTCACTGTTGATAAAGAGGCAATGCCATGAAAGCTTCATGCAGGCTGCCAATACTGAAAACTCCTGTGAGAATGTTAGTTCTCTGGCTGTCATTCTGATGTTTTGACTTCAATGTGTTCTGAATCACTGACGCAGAACAAGAATAGAGATAAGTAGTTCTCATTTATAGCATGCTTGTTCTGGGGCTGAAATATACCAAGGTGAGACACAGCCAGGCATTTAGAGTTTTCAGGAGGCCTGCAATGGCAGCTCCTATTCTCCTCACATAGCAGAGCCACTTTAACAACTGAAAGACAGCTACAGCGTGGTTCTCGTTTTTGGAGGGCGTCTATAGAATTGCAGCGGCCCTTTACCATGTGATCAGTTGTGTCCAATAACAGCTGATCACATATAGACAATTTTTGCCAGTACTTTTGTTTTTACTGATAATCAGGGCACTGATCAGTGCCCATCAGTGCAGCCTATCGGAGCCCATCAGTGCAGCCTATATCGGAGCCCATCAGTTGCAGCCTATCGGAGCCCATCAGTGCAGCCTATCGGAGCCCATCAGTGCAGCCTATCGGAGCCCATCAGTGAAGCCTATCGGAGCCCATCAGTGAAGCCTATCGGAGCCCATCAGTGAAGCCTATCGGAGAGCCCATCAGTGAAGCCTATCGGAGCCCATCAGTGCAGCCTATCGGAGCCCATCAGTGCAGCCTATCGGAGCCCATCAGTGCAGCCTATCGGAGCCCATCAGTGCAGCCTATCGGAGCCCATCAGTGCAGCCTATCGGAGCCCATCAGTGAAGCCTATCGGAGCCCATCAGTGAAGCCTATCGGAGCCCATCAGTGAAGCCTATCGGAGCCCATCAGTGAAGCCTCATAAGCTAACATCAGTGAAGAAGAAAAAATTACTTATTTGCTAAATTTTATAACAAATGAAAAAAGTTATTTCAAAATTGTGTTTTTTTTTGTTTGTCAAGTAAAAATCATAAAACCCAGTGGTGATTAAATACCACTAAAAGAAAGTTCTGTTTTTTTAAAAAAATTATAAAAATTTCATATGGGTACAGTGTTGCATGCAATGACCAAGCAATTGTCATTGAAAGTGTGAGAGTGCTGAAAGCTGAAAAATGCAGCCTGGGCAGGAAGGGGGTGAAAGTGTCCAGTATTGAAGTGGTTAAAAATAGAGTAAGGGTAGCTTCACATCTCCGAGTTCCTGCGGGCCGTGTTTTGTGCAGGCACGAGAGCCCATTTATTTGAATGGACTTCCATGTCCCGAGACACGCACGGAAGAAGTCCCTGCACTTCTTCAGAAAAACACAGCCCGCACGGGAACCTCGGTTCCCAATACGGTTGTGATTTCCAGTGCGGGTGGCGTGCCATTAGAATTAATGGCACCCGCCTGCGGGTCCGCATTCCTCTGTGCGGGTGCATGGATTTTTGTGCGGATCCGCAGCGGCCTCACCCGCACAGATTAGAACCAGGGGTTAAACTGAGTGCTTGCCCCCTCTATGTGATGAACTTCAGGATAAGCAAATATTATCTAAATACAAGGGACTAAGGCTGGCCATACATTATACAATTTTCTCCAGATTTTTGGTTTAAATTGACCAAAAACCATATAATAGGAGGTCAAAAAACTAAACACTTTCAGTTGTATCCAATTAGGCAGCCCTTGCACTACACAGTTGAAGGTAAATCTAAAGGAAATTGGGCAGAAATTGGACAGAAAATTGTATAGTGTATGGCCAGCCATAGTGTATGTATTCTTATTTGAATCTTGGTGTGCTTTGTGCATTTCTTCCAGATATGTGTAGTATTCCAACATGAAACGTTACTTCTGTGCAGGAGTTTCCTGCAATAAAGACCAGTCATTGCTGTTCTCTCTCCTTGTGTAGGGTGACTGATCTTGTATCCACCCCCCTGAAGTTTTCTGCATGCAGCCTGTAGTGGGCGGGGCCTGCTAGGTCCCTCCCACAGCTCTGCTCTCTGCACAGGCTATGTGAACCAAAGTGGATTTATATAGTTTGTGGCTTTTGAGGAATATATTTGAATTAGGAGTTTTTGTCCCTGGGAGATCAGGTTCAATCTAAAAATCTCTATATATTATGCAATAACCAAATCATGGAGAGCTGAGAGATCCTGTGTAAATTCTGCACTTTGAATGGGGTGTTAGGGACAGGCAGCTGTAGATGAACAGTTATAACGTAAGCAAGAGAATTTGTTAAATCTCTGTTTATCACCGGAGGCCAGTCACTTCACTGGATATATGTAAGGGTTTTCAACCACTTTAAGTACATACTGCATTTGCCATACAGCAGGACTCAGACAGATAGAGGGAGTGGCAGGATTATGAGTAAATCAGGGATGCTGCTTACAAGTGTGCTGACAAGGAACATGTTGGTAGTAGGAGAAAGCAGAGTGGGCATAAGGAAGACTTGAATTATCTTCTACTACTCCTTTGCTGTCCAGTCGGCAGGCTGGGGGGAACAGAAGGCACCACTGCCTTACTTAGTGGTAAGTGTTGTCATCCACCTGATAGGGCTATGTAAGTCTCAGTACTAGGTGGACTGAAATACAACTATTAAAACAGCGCTGTACAATATATAGGATGCATTTTATGTGAGCCATTAGCTGTTTGCTTAGAGTTCAGCTTAAGAATAATCACTGTATTAACCATTTCAATACCGGGCAATTTTACCCTTTCCCTCCCAGGCCATTTTTCAGGTTTCAGCGATCTCACACTTTGAATGACAATTGCGCTGTCATACAACATTGTACCCAAACTAAAATTTTATCATTTTCTTCACACAACTAGAGCTTTCTTTTGGTGGTATTTAATCACCGCTGGGGTTTCTATTTTTTGCTAAATTAACAAAAAAAGACCGAACATTTTGGAAAAAAAAACACGGTTTTCTTTGTTTCTGTTATAAAAGTTGCAAATAATAATTGTTCTTCATAAATTTAGGCCAAGATGTATTCTGCTACATGTCTTTGGTGAAAATAACCCAAATTAGGATGTATTTTTTAGTTTGTAGGAAAGTTATAGAGTTCACAAACTATGGTATAGATCTGAATATTGATCAATCCTGAAGTAGTGATGGCCAATCTAATTTCTTGAGGTCCAAGAATGTCAGAACAGTACAGATATCCCACAAATGACCCCTTTTGGCAAAGTAGACAGTCCGACGTACTTCATAAGAGGAATGGTGAGTTTTTTTGAAGTTGTATTTTTTTTGTCATAATTTTTCGGAAAATGAAAAAATAAAAAAAATTAGTTTCACTATTTTTTTTTTCCATACTGTCACCAGTGCAGTAAAGCATCATCATAAACTGGCATGGCGGTGATCAGGGACACTGACTGGTGACAGTATGAAAAAAATATATATATATTTTTTTTTGTTTTTTTAATTTTTTTTATTATTTTTTTATTACATTTTTTTTTCTTTTTTTTTTAAGACATCGATTGACATCGATTCATTCAGGGTTTTTTTTGTGCTTAGCTGTGATTTGGCCACAGCTAATCACATGACATGTGCATGTGATTAGCTGTGACCATTCACAGCTAGACACTAGTATACAATGGATGGCATGAATGAAGCCATCCATTGTATAAAACTGTCATGTGACCTGCTGTGATTGTTCATAGCAGGTCACATGGTACCGGCAACAGGGCCGATACTCAGATCTGTCATCGGCTGAGGTACACGGCCGGTGACAGATCGCGCCGCTGCGCGGCTCTGCGCGGCTCTGCAAACGCGAAAACTGCGCATGCCCGGGAGGACGCCAAATGGCGTCCACTCGGTAAGCTAAAGCATTTTGCCGGCCACCAAACGGCTATTGGCCGGGCGTCAAATGGTTAACTTACAGTCTATGCTGTTAGTCCCTACTTACATAAAAGATCAATACCTCTAGTTATCTCTTGCTGCACCTAAGCATAAGATTGTGAGGTCCCGTTTTGACACAACAAAGGAGGCTGAAGGATGAGAGACCACTCACGCTATGACGATTGGTTTTTCACATCAAATGGAAAAATCCATTTAACATCCAGTTTATACTGACCTGTGCAGGCAATGTAAGCACTCAACTTTTTACAGAAAAAGAATATTTTCTAAACATGAGGATCGGTTTTAGTTTGTAAAGCTAGCAACCAATAGATCACCATTAACAGCTGCAGTCTTGGCATACTTACAGCAAAGAAAGACAGGATTTCAGGCCTACGCAATGACATTTCATCTATGTCGCTCAGGACCTGCAGGATATCTGGAAGAAAAGGAAAAAAGTCCAGCAGACATCAACTTAAATCCATCACAAGCTGAGTCTGTAGAGAAGCTAGGTCAGCATGACACAATCAAGCGGCTGAGATAAAACAATGCCTTTCAATCAAGGAATTCATTTTGCAGAGAAAATGAAGTGTGATGACAGGTTACCATGGACCCTGGGATAAGGGGCCCAGCTGGCAGCTCTGCAAGTTGTTCCAGGCCCCAGGCAATTCTTGGGCTTTCAAGGACTGATCGGATTGCAGGCAAGGCTCTGGGATGGACACATAACAAATTTACCAGTGTTGTAACAGAGATATATAAGAAACAGAAAAAAAAAGCTGACATGCGCCTCAAACAAATCTAAGATGTGACTTTTCACATTCCTCTTGGGAATTCTTTTAATTATATTTGGCTCTTTCTATACTATTTTCTAATATATAGAGACCGCTGCTGATATCTTAAGGTTTTGGATCATCAGAAGATATTTATTGCCTGTGGGCAACAATGAGAAAGCAGATATTACTGAATTTGCCTTTGTGGTGGTCTGTGTCACAGGAAAGTTAAACAAACAAGAATACAAACAAGCCAGTACTGATCCACAATGAGGCTGAAACATCCTAATATAATACTGTCTACTGGCAACAATGAAAACGAAGTATGCAAAATATTCTATTAGGAACGCATTTTAATCAAACTAAATGGAGGAAGCATTCTTTTTGTGCCCTGCAGGCATTTTGTTTTGCACATACCGATGAAAAAAGCTGTACCTAAAGATTGTAGAAACAATTTCAGAATAATATTCCTCACCCTGGGTTCACACTGGTGCAGTACGGCACATCACATGTGATTCGCACAGGAACCACACCTAATTTCTTTGCAAATCACATGCGATTTCTGACATTTTGTATGGCTCAGATTGCACCGCATCTGAAGCAATCAGGACCCTTTTTTTTGTTTCCGCACCAGAATCAGATTGCATAGGTATTCAAACCCATGCGATCAAATTCTGGCCATTGCACCGCGTTTTGAGAACCAATCTCAGGGCGTCGTTAACTTAACATAAACACCCGCAGCGGTTAGCATGAATGGGGTGCAATAATGATGCAGTGTGGAAATCGTACAGAAACTGGTGAGAATTCTGCACCGCATCAGCATGAACCCGGGCTCAATTTAAATTGCAAAGAGTATAAATATATTGTCATCTACAGCACATAATATGAAAAGATTCAGAGAATCTAGAGAAACCTCTGTGTACAAGGGACAAGGTCGAAAGCCAATATCAGATGCCTATGATACTCAGGCCTTCAGACAGCACTGCATTTAAGAGGCATGATTCTGTAATGGACATCACTGCATGAGCTCATGAATATTTCCAAAAATCACTGTCTGAATACAGTTCAAAGCAAAAAAAGAATAAAATAAGAGGTAAAAATATACCTAATGTCCTGAGGTAAGTCACCAACAAGTCTCAAAAATGAAGAGAGTGGGGGGTGGGATGGAGACTGGGTGTTGGGAAGGGGAAGTACCTCAGGTAACCTAAATAGGGGAAAGGTAAGATAATGGGGCATATGTGAGGTGTTCAAGCATAACTTCGATTATAAGGAGTACATTACAGTCTATTCCGAAAACACTACAAATGATTATTGCCCTAATCACATAAAAAAAAAAATATATATATTTTATCCCAAAAAAGATGGAGCAATTTGATGTCAACATCATATAGACACACACACCAAAAACAATACACTCCAGTATTTCCATAAATAGAAGAGAGGGATAAGGAAAGAAATATGTACTGCTAAGGCCCCAACAACAAAGTCTGCAGTGCCAACCAAACAAGCAACTCAAAGCTCGATCACACAAAGAAGTCATATCTGAACATGATCCTGAAATGCTGCCATCATCATAGGGCCAAAGTTCATTTAAAATGGTCTGCTGCAAAGTGGAAAACAGATCTGTGGTCAGATGAATCCAAATTTGGCATTCTTCTTGGCAACCATGGGAACCGCGTCCTCTGGACTAAAAAAGGAGAGAAACCTTCCGGCTTGTTATCAGCGTTCATTTCAAAACCCTGCACATCTGGAAAGGCATCATCAGTGCTGAAAAATATCCAAGTTTTTATAGCAAAATATGCTCTCATTCAGAAGATGTCTTTCAGGGAAGGTCTTGCATATTTCAGCAGAGCAACGCTAAACCGCATTCTGCATCTCTGACAACAGCTTGGCTTCCTAATAGAAACGTCCAGGTGCTTAACTGGCCTGCCTGCAGTCCAGACCTTTCACCACATGAAAATATTTGGTGCATCTTTAAACAAAAACTATTCAACAAAGAAGACCCAGGACCGTTCAGCAGTTAGAATCCTATATCAGGTAAAAATAGGACAACATTCCCCTCCCAAAACTCCAGAAACTGGTCTCCTCAGTTCCCAGATGTTGAGAGTGTCGTTAAAAGAAGGAGGGAGGCTACACCATACTAAACATGGTCCTGTCCCAATTTTTTTAGGACATGTTATCAATTTCAAAATGACCCTATTTTTTTACTAAAACGGTACACTTTCTCTGCTTAAACATTTGCTATGTATATTGAATAAAATACAGGTTTATGAGATTTGGAAATCATTGCATTCTGTTTTTATGTAGATTTTACACTACGTCCCAATTTTTGGAATTGGGGTTGTATAATGTTTTCAGGTGATTTTGAATTTTATGCACTTGTTAAAGTTTATGAGTTTTTAAATGTATGTTTTGCATCTGTTTTTACTATAGGGGTGTATACATACACACAGTATAAAAGTAGAAACAAATGTCAGAGGATTCTCAAAGAACGAAGAAGTAGCATACAAAGGGGAGCTCTGACTCATTCAGTTGTGTGTCACCTAGGGCTATTAAATTCTGTAAACAGGCTATTTACAACAAAGCTGGTGAGTAAACAGAAAAATAGAACACATAAAAACAACCATAAAGTTCCATCTGCTTCCTCAGACATAGCCACCAAAAATTTCCAAAAAATGAAAATTCCTGTGACAGTTCTAATTTCTAGAAGATACTTAGGTTGTTAAAAAAATGGGATATCCTGTACCAAAAACTGCAACATATTCTATTGCTTTAGTGGACATACTGGGGTTTATTTACTAAAGCTGGAGAGTCCAAAATCAGACTCCCTTCTGCATAGAAACCAATCAGCTTCCAGGTTTCATTGCCAAAGCTTCATTGAACAAGCTGAGGTTAGAAGCTGATTGGTTTCTATGCAGAAGGGAGTCTGATTTTGGACTCTCCAGCTTTAGTAAATAAACCCCACTATGTCAGTGACTGTATACGATTGGGGATACAAAACAAATCAGGGGATTTTTTTTTCTTTCTTACCCTCTTTTGTTAATTGATCTAAAATACTAGTGAGTGGCTTCTTAAAGCTATAGTGCATCTTTTTTCTTTAATGAAAAGTGCTGAAAAATAATCAGAATGTTACGTCCGTTTGGCCTAGGGAGATCTTATGTTTTTAACAGGTGTGGTTCCAGTTTAAGATCCAGAACACATTTACAAAAGGAAGTTCATTGGTGAAAGCGCTATATGATCTAGACCACGGGTGTCAAACTGGCGGCCCTCCAGCTGTTGCCAAACTACAAGTCCCATGAGGCATAGCAAGATTGACAGTTACAAGCATGATTCCCAAAGGCAGAGGCATGGTGGGACTTGTAGTTTGGCAACAGCAGGAGGGATGCCAGTTTGACATCCCTGACCTAGACTAACATAACATGCAGAGCTACCAGCAAGATACAGAGTTTAAGGCTTCATGTACACGAGTAACTCCTAAACTTGAGTTTAGGAGCTTTTGGCATTTTTTTTTTTGCCAAAGCTCCTAAACTCAACTCCATAAAAGCCTGTGTGTCCATGTACACATAGGCTTTTAGCAGAGTTGAGGAGCTGCTATGTTTAGGTGAGGTTAAACATCCCTCTCCTGAACGCGGAAGAATCACGTTCAAGATAGGAACGTTTTGACTGCCGACCGCGGGAAAACGCAAAACACGGAAAAACCGTGGCATAACATGGCAACTGCGGTACCGCGTTTTTGCCGCGATTTGCATTTTCCCGTGGTCAGGGTAGGCTCGTGTACATGAAGCCTAAAAGGACTTCAGCTCTTTTGTTGAAGGTAATGAGCTGTGGACTGTAAACCAATGAACAGTCTTCCTGCAGAAACTTTTAAAACTAGAAGATGGGCAGAAAAACAGGAACTTACCTTCTACTGTATGACTACGAGAGATCCTCTTAAGGAAAGGTGCCATTTCAGCAGCAGTGAGAGGTGTAAACATTGAGACACTGACTAGGGGAAGTGATCCTGCAGCACACTCATCTGCCAAAACATGGGAAAAAATAATGTTATAACATTGATAATAATGGAAAACCAAATCTTCAGTTGTAAGTTAACACTCATAATATAAGAGGACATAAATGTACTGTAAAATGTACTATGTCAACTGACTTTTATGTGCATTTGCAACGTCTGAAATACTTCAGAATTCATAACAGGTGCAGCTGACTTTCTTTAGCCACTTTTTCATATAAATAGACTTGTATGTCATTTCAGAGATTTGCTTACACTGAACCACACAGAGGTGGCTGGACCAGGCTCCGGCTGATAGTCTGAACATTGAGTTTCTCTCTCTACTCTCATTTTCTTTTGGTACTGGCTACAGGCATCTAAGGATGGCGAAATACACCAGGTTCCCCTCCAGTGACTTTGTACACATACCTTGTCGTTCTCCTATAAACGATTTTCAAAAAATCGACCTCAATAAAAATTGTCATTTTTCAAATAGACTTGTATGAAGAGAGAAGCAGTTCTAAAGCAATCAGAAGCCCTTCGTTACTGGCCATTATGTAAAACCAGTAAGAACCCAGGGGCAAGACTGAAGTATCATAAAGGTAATAGGAACTCATCAAAACTAGGAACTTTACAAAAATCTGACCACTAGAGAGCCAAACATACAATGAGCCAGGGATTGCACTCCACTGTTTTCAAAGCAAAAGTATTTTTCGGCTCAAATAACGCACTGGTTCCTATCTCATGGATCAGTTGAATTATTGGCATGTTTCAGGGCACAAAATTAATGATTCTACTGCATATTACCAAAATGACACTTAATTGGACCACCCATTCAATTTCCGTCTATATGTGGCTAAATAAACAGACTTCAAAGCAAACCTGTTATAAAAGAAATATGAACATTACCTATGTTGACCTCTCCTGGAAATGCTAGGGCCCATCTGACTTAGGCCCCATGCACAAGGGGCAGATTTCATTCTGATCAACAAGGGATCAGTTCACAGATCCCCTGCTGATTGGAGCAGAGCCGGCAGATGACACATCTGTGTCTGCTCAGTTTCTGCAGAGCATACATAGAGAGAGCCTGCTCTGCGCAATGGGCGGTCAGAAGTAAAAACGGACTCCACTGTCCATTTACCACCCGACTACACTGCTCTGCCTAAATGGAAGTGAACAGATCTCCATTTGTTTTTTTTTTTAGTGGACTGTATTGGACCCGGGGGTAGGTGGTTTAAAAGGACACAAGTCCAATTACACCCACCTGTCCATGGAGATGAATGGACACTTCGATTAGATTCACCTAAAAAACTGACAGGCGGACATGATTGGAATGGCAGAGTGAAAAGGGCCTTAAATTGAACTCTGGGAATTGGACAAGCTCTACCCTTGCAGTTCCTCATTCAGTTTGGGGTGCAGTAATAAGATGTATTACTTAAATTAAAAAAATGTGGTGTGCTATCAAAAATAGAACCATAAGCTTTAGAAACAAAGTGACAGTCCAAGAAAATTTTCTTTCAAATAAAATTTTTTTTTTTTTTTTATTGGACTGTCATTTTGTGTTTCTAAAGCCTATGGTTCTATGTATGAGATCGCGCACCACAGTTTTTCATTTATTTAAATTTTAAGTGTGAGTACACCAGAGTAGTGAGTGCATCAATCTTCTTCCCTGATATTATTACTATATTTTGAACATAGCAGCGCATAGGTTTTTACCATTTGCAAGATGTATTACTTGCCCATGTCTTGCTCTGGCAGGCCTCAGCACTATCCTCAATCTTCAGGAGGGTTGTGGGCAGTCCCTGTGGTGTCATCACATACAGCGTGGGGCTAATAATCCCATAGTATACTGTATGTGAAGATGTTAACTTGCAACTTGGGCGCTAAGGTCCTTGGAGAGGCATCAGCTCCGGACTAGTTGGAAGGAGCCAGATGAAGCCAAGTAAAAGGTATGTGTTACACTTTATCCCTATACCTTATCCACCTCACCCTTAGACCAAATGGGCATGCAGTGTGGAGGGGTTCCTCTGCCAGGGTAGATTTTATCTAATTCATGAAGTTCAATTTTAAGTGTCATGAAAACTACTCTTAAGTCTTCGGAAAATTTGTGTAGATAGGTTTAGTTAAAGAAACAAGATTGCAAAGCACAGGGTAACAGTACTGAGAGGCATTCTAATAATCTTCCTCAATTTGGCTTCAATGAATCACTGGGCACTTAATATTAAATCAAGATTTTCTAATCTCAGCAATATTGCCATTTTTTTCAATAGCACTTGCAGTTCACCAAGTGATTTTACTTGTTCCATGGAGCTGTACCTGGGTCACTTTCCAAACACTGCACTGAATAGTTGAGGTCACACACAATACTATTTCATAGTTTGCAACACACCTTCTTTGTCCTCATCCTGGTTCTTCTCCAAAGTCCCACTCCTGCTGGGCAGGCTTAGACCAGCTAGCAGGGACTTAAGCATTGTAAGATCATTGTTCTCTGATGACAAAGCACTGGAAAATTAAGAGTAGAGAGGTCACCATACAGAAAAAACATTCACAATTTCTTTAATAAACATGCACCAGTGTTTAATACCAGTTTAACTGTGTGTGTACCACTCACTATCCCAGATTTATCGAATCCTCCTAAACACCTCCTATCCAGCTACTCTGCTATTCCTATCTAAATAGGAGTGGGAGCTGAATGTACAGTATCACCTGATGATATGGATTAGGAAAAACACTGGCACTTTCCTTAAGGCTGGCCACCGACGGGCTGTTTATCGGCCGAATTGTCGGCTGATAAACAAAAAATCGGTCGGCCCCGTTGCCGATGCTGCCACCAATTTCCATGAAAAACGGCCGTTTTTCATGGTTTTTCCAGCATGAACAATAAAAATAAACAAGAAGATCCGCGAAAAACAGCCGACGGGCTGGCCCCAATAACGGCGTGAATATCAGCCGATTTTTCGTGTGAACAAAATTCGGCCAATAAACGACCTGTTTATGGCCTGCATTAAACTATCTATAGCATCTTATCGCCAGGAACATAATTACTGCATTGTGTTTAGGTGGTATTGTTGCCCTACTACACTGCAAATAATTAACCCTCGATCATATCATCCCGGATATGTGTTAGAGATCAGTATGGGCCCGCATATCTGGGGCACAAATTATCCCTTTCTGGGATAAAATACTACAATCATCAGACAAATTCCCAAACGAACCTTGCATAACTGTACTTTCTATGTTGCCAGACTCCTATAGACAAATCAAGAAAAGCTTAAAGGATAAGTTCACCTTTTGGACAAAAATAATAAATGCACATTTATTTGCAGGTAAAGAAATGTGCATTTATTATTTTTGTCCAATGAAGCCTGGAAAGCATTGCACCAGCGATCAGTAGATCGCTGATGCCATGCAGGTCTCCTGCAGACCTGTCAGCTGTGGAGCGCCGTGGTAGTTCATTGAAAACTACAAGCTCACAGCCGCTAAGGCTGTCGGGACTTGCAGTTCATTAATTCATGGAAGTCCGTGAATGAATGACGAGGTCGTGGGGGTGGAGCCCCCCACGGCCGCGCGGTTTTCAAATCTGACAGATAATACAGGGAAACTTCTCTCCGTACTGTCAGAGGGAGGGAGGGGGTTAGCAGACGTGGCTGCGGCTATGGGAACATGTTACACATTCCACCCTAAAAACGGGAGGAACATGTAACATGTTCCCAAAGGTGAACTTCTCCTTTAATTCAACATGTTCGCACAGCAGCACGCTCTGTTATCGATAGACATTGGCGCCTACTGTCTGTTCCCTCTTTGGCTGATGGGGCTTGTGAAATGGACAGGATCGAATAACTTGAATGCATGATAGCCTGGGAGGATAATAAGACTGAATCTTACAAAATCATGTAGACCATCTGCTTTTCCTCCAATTTTGAGGCCTTTGTAATTGCTTCTTCTGAGGCCTCTTAGGTATAGGTGGTATCCCCCTCTCCCCTATCCCCCCCCCCAGCCACCCCCTTTGTTTTCCTTCATCTCTTTCTCTTTTACTTTGTTTCTTGCCTCTCTAAGGAATTGACATCTTTCACCTGTTTCTCATATACATGGAGCTCTGGAATGTGTTGCTCTGTTTCTTGTATGAGTGGTAGCACCAATGTATGTTTACATCATTTTCATTGTGACCTCTAACATTATAATACTATCTGACTGTGGAGATAACTTTATCTCTGCTAATCTTACCATGTCTTAGTGACCTTTACTTTTATCATAACTTTGTGATGTCTCCCCTTACATTACTTTTGTCTATATGCATCCATAGACATTTACAGGAAAAAGACATAGTACTCATGTTTATGATCTGTACTTTCCTGACCATGGCGCCTCCTGCATGGAGTTTGCATGTTCTCCCTGCGCTTGTGTGGGTTTCCTCCGGGTGCTCCGGTTTCCTCCCACACTCCAAAGACATGCTGGTAGGTTAATTGGCTCCTGTCTAACTTGGCCCTAGTATGTGTATGTATGAATGTGAATTAGGGACCTTAGATTGTACACCCCTTGAGGGTTAGGGACTGATGTGAATGTTCAATATATATATGGTAAAGCGCTGCGTAAACTGACAGCGCTATATAAGTACCTGAAATAAATTGTGTGTGCAGGTGTGTATTTTATTTTGTGCAATGACTACAAACTCTGGGAAAATAAAAATTTCCTCAGTGATTAACAATACTGGTGGAGCACACAGAGTCTGAAACTCCATAGTGTGGGCACTAGGGTGGACTTATCCACCAGCCCGTGCTTTTACTCTTTCAGATTTCTAGACTTTAGTTCCTCTTCTGCATTGTGCGTCATGAGGAAGACTGGATAAGAGGACAGTAGAAAGCCTATGACTTTTCACAAAATGTAATGAATGACAACTATATTTGTCTTTTATTTCAAATGCTGACCATCAACAGAAATTCTACACCTATTCATTATTGAGAAATGTTGTCAAATCAAAATGCTGATTTCAGCACGTTTGTTCCTAGACCAGACATTCTCAAATAGGATTCCAAGCAATCCGACGGTTCCTAAAGTTGTGTTTGATTGGCGGACAGGTGCCTTCATAGTTTGAGGTATAGCACCACCTGGCAGAGCCAATGGCATAACATCAATGATCTTCTTTCCTGTCTACAAGGGTGGTAGTTGGCCCACTGTAAGGGGGGCATGCTTTCCAATGACCACCAATTTAAAGTGCATTTATACCACTGATCCCTAATTAATTCATTTTATCAGGGTTCCCCTGAGAATTGAAATTTATTTTATAGTTCAAAGCCTGGTATACACAATGGAAAACAATATTCAATCATTTGCAAAAAATATCAAATTACTAGACTGCTAAAAAAATGTAATTGAATGTTAACCTCATCTGTAAAATTGTCCTTATCATTATCATGATTTTTTTTTTAATTTTTGGACATTTTCATTTACATAGCAAAAAAAATTAAAATCCCAGCGGTGAATAAATACCACCAAAATAAAGTTTTATCTGTCTCAAAAAAATGGTAAAAAATTCATATGGGTGCAGTGTTGCATGACCGCGCAATTGTCATTCAAAGTGTGATAGCGCTGAAAGCTGAAAATTGCCCTGGTCAGGAAGGGGGTTAAAGTGTCCGGACTGGAAGTGGTTAAGTACTGCACATCTTTGGCAAAATGTGTGGTTTCAGTTTTGGATGGAGAGGGAAATGATTAAACCCGTCAGGTTATTATTGCTGTCTGCATCCTGCTGGGAGATTCATCTTTCTATTTGTCTTAAAAATCATTGTCAGTGGGACAAAAAGTAACAGGAAATCCACAATGTTATGACTGTTGCTAATACAGGAGGTGTGGGAAGATCTTCCAATACATAATTCTATTCTTGCAAACTGTCTAAAAGGTGATTTCCTTAACTTTGGAGAGATTTCATTTTACATCTTGTGGTGTTTGTGGAACAGTAAGTGAGGGGAAATCACCTAAACAGCACACCGACACCACTAAAAAAAGAGGATAGGAGCTTAGAAATTCTTGAGATTATAGACATTTGTTTTCTTTTAGCCTCAAAAATTAAATTTTTTTATTTTTATTAAAAAAAAAAAAACAACATCTAACTGCAAGGAGCAGCCATCTTTAACAAGCAAAAATCTAAATACACGTGTTAAAATACAGGAGTTGTTCTACCACCCAAGGGATTTGTATTGCTGCCCATCTGGTTCTGATATTTACACAATTTCTCTGCTGCAGTTAAGTAACATTTATGGGTTCTCTTTCCACAACCCTGCCTGTGACTGGACAGTCAAAGGAGAAGCAGCACACGGATGAGCTCATCTCTCTGTCACTCTGCACCCTATTCCTGTCAGCATGCTATCTATACTGCAGGACAATTGACTGAGTCTTTCTACTGCTTTTCTCTGCCCCTGGGTTAGCTTTGCTTTACACGGACTGCAAAACTAAGTTAAATTCAGATAGTTACACTGCTTGAACTAAAAATTAATTTATGGATTTACTAAGAAATACAAAACTGCATCAATTTTATACATCATTTCTTTAAATCTACCTCGAGTTCAGCTTTATAGAATCCTTCAACACAATTGAAAGTCTATAATGAAAGCAGTAGCAAGTGACATTGTACCCAATGAATCCACAGGTCTTTGTCACAAAGCATACTGTTTGAATGCTATTATTTCTATATCAATGGGTCTCTTTTATAATTAAAAAGAAAAAAAAAAACAACAACATTAAACCACAATGATATAGCACACTGCAGTTGTCAGGGAACCAGCGACATTTCTGCTGCAAGCTTTGACACAAATGGCTTACAGTAAAAGTAATTACATATGTAATCAGGGTACTATAGATGTTTAGTATTTAAATCACTTACTGTAGGGGATCAGAGTGCTTCTGTAGGAAGGACACAGCTGCCTGAGCGTCACATGTGATGTACTTGTGGATGAACTGCACAAACTTACTGATGAAGGCAGCCAGCTGCCTGGAATACTTTCTGAAATTCTAAACATAAGCAGAACAGCAGTTAAGCAGTTAAAAACACATTTCATTTAACTCTTTGCAAAACAGCATGTTGTGACACCCTTGAAATGTATTGCTTTGTTTAAAATATGCAGCATGATGCATTTTTTATGCAACACACAGCAATGTACTTGTCTGGTGTACTCAAGGCATCTAGGGAACAATTGTTCTTACAGCGTCCTTGCACTGAGCCAAGGCTGATCAACACAGGTCGGTGTACCTGGGTTGAATGAAGACTTAGCCCCGGTTCACACTGTCACATTGCATGTGATTTGAACCGCATTCCTGTGAAAATCACGTCATTCTGTGCAGTGCAATTTGAGCCCATCATTTTGTATGGCTCAATTCGCACCGCACCTGCACGAAAAAGGTGCAGGCACCATTTTATTTTTGGCTGCACTGGAATGGGATCGTATGGGTGTTCATACTCATGTAAACCAATTCAGTCAAACTGACAGCATTCTGCAACCTGCTTTTGGAGTGTCGTTAACTTTTAATTGACACCCACAGTGGATCACATGAACACAGTGAGATTGATATGTGGTGCGGAAAACACAGTGATTCCAGTGCATTTCCAGCATCGCATCAGTTTGAATCAAGGCCTGTTTCCTGTCACTTTAAATAGTTTGTTTGGACCAACAAGCTGACCAAACAAAAAAAAAGCAAAAACTGAAAGATCGCTGTACTAAGCGATGTTGGCACAGCAATGTCTCCCACTGTGCTTTTGTGTTCTGATAGGGGGACTCCAACTCCCCTCCCCCCAACTGGAACACACTGAGCAGCTCTTGCAGTCATTGGCTCCAAGTACTGATCAGATGCTGGTTTTCCAGCATGTCCCTTCAACAGACGTCCTCAGAAGTGTGCATCCAGGATCATCAAAGGCTCTACTATGGGAGCACAGTTTGGATATATCTATAGTACATGATTGTAAATCATGTTATGGCAGACTGTCTTCTCTGATACCCCTCCAGTTATGGCAGGTCAATACTAGGCAGTGTACACAAAACAAAAGCAGTCTGTTATGCCAAAAAAAAACGCTACAAAAAAAAAAGTCCTCTAAATCCTCCACTAACAAATTACAAATCTTGCTTCCTTTTACTCACCGTTTACAGTACTGTGTGCTACTAAAAGAAACATGCCCTTTAACAGAATTATTCAAACTAGTCTCTGAGCAGGGGGCACATTTTCTTACCTGTAAAAGTTTGATGAAGGAAAGAAGGCAGTCCCAGAGGGCTTCTTGATGCTCACTATGGAACACCTGGGGCTGCAGGAGCTCCAAAATACCCAAAACATGTGTGAAGAACGTAAGATGATTCTGTTGACGAAATTCATGGAAATTCAAGTGCACACGACCATGGAGCAAAGCTGCGATCATCGGCAAGTGCCTGGAACAGAAAGTTTAAATCAGTTTATAGAACTTCCCCCCCACAGTTAGAACAATCAGAAATAAGCAACCCGCTTCAATATGGAGAAGGATTTAATATACATTGGGCTGATTTCATAAAGCTTTGATTAGGATAAGAATCTCTTATTTTAGTTACATGATTGTGATTTGACAATAACCTGGATCCTTATCATTGTATGTTAGCTTAGATCTAGGTTCACATGTGCATAGATGGACCATATTATGCGCATTTTACATGCTTAGATTTGGGCAGATCATTTATTCATGGGCTGCCCAAGAGCACAGAAAACGCACCAAAAAAGTGCATATAAAATATGACGTGTTGTTGTGTTGCACTAAAACACGTGTGTTAGCATTTACCAAGATGCACTGGGGTTCCATTAGCAATGTATGGCACCACAGCGTACGTACCATAAAAACACACTTTTCTGTGTCCTGCTTAAATGCACACAATTTCATTCATGTTCTCACGTGGACAGATGTGAATGGGCACTAATTAAGATTTATTCTTTATGATCACAACTAAAAACAATTTTTGGAACACAAGAAACATGTAGCAGCATCTTGTAGCAATCAATCAGCCATGATTGGAGCACTGTCTAATCCAGTGTTTCTCAACCCTTTTTCAGTCAAGGCACCCTTTAAAATGATGGACAGTCCTGAGGCACCCTTTAAAATGATGGACAGTCCCGAGGCACCCTTTAAAATGATGGAGAGTGTTGAGGCACCTAATTCTAAAATGGGAAAACAGTAACATCCACACATGTAGGGCACCCAACATTAGAGGTGATTTATTTTTCCAAAGCAAATACACTTCTGCACACTGGTACTGACTAGTATTCCAATGTTTCTCTTCTCCCTCAGTTTTTCTCCATCACTGAGCTAATGTGACCCCAGCACTGACTGAGAGGGGGGAGGGTTCAAACTAGGATGCTGTGCAGGCAGCTCACAACGTTCTTATCAACTGATGATGTTATTGGCTGTCTAGAAGGTTGTAATGATGCACAATGAAAACCTGTGGATTTGTGTAACTAAGGCTGGCCATACATTATACAATTATCTGGAGATTTTTGGTTTAGATTTACCAAAAACCATATAATAGGACAAACCAAAACAACACTTTCAGTTGTATCCAATTAGGCGGGCCCTTGCACTACACAGTTGAAGGTAAATCTAAAGGAAATTGGGCAGAAAATTGGAAGATAATTGTATAATGTATGGCCAGCCTTAAAGTCAGGATTGTTCCACCCGCTGGCTTGTATACAAGTTTTGGGCAATTTTTAGACATTTTGCCAAGGCACCCCTGAACATTTTGCCTTAAGGCACCCCTGAAGAAACCTCAAGGCACCCTGGTTGAGAACGGCTGGTCTAATCATGTGGGATTGATATCGCAACTACTTACTACTTGTGTAGCTCACTCTATCACAAGCCATTTGTTCCATCTGTTTTCTAGCGATTAAACACTTTCAATTTTGGTATCACAACACAGCTCTAGCCTTATGCAGGCCATACACCAAATACCTGCATCCAATCAGATACATACACTGTTCAGGTGCTCTGACTGTTGCTAGAATGCAACATCCAGCAGGGGAGATTCCTCCACCTGCGCTCTTCAGCATAGACTGGGGAATTATATAATTTCCTAATGTGTATGGCAAGCTTTACTGTATTCTGTACAGCTATTTTCAACCAATTAGAGTGGAAATTAAGCCTGAAGAAGCTGGGGAGAAGTTCCTGGTGCCAGTCAGGGACCCCTCACAGACACTCACAATTACACAGTGATTTTAGTCCTGCTATAAGATCTAGAACCATTTTTTTTAATTAAGCTGTTGGCCTATCAATAATTTAATTATTATATAAAATTTTACACATTGTGACAGTGTGGCGATCTGTCACCCAGGATTCTCAACAAGGCAGGTTGAGGGGCTCCAGGGTAAGTGTTTGATACGGAGGAAAGTGGCTTTTCACTTTCCTCCTTTGTTTGTTAGGTCTGTTTTGGGATATGGAGCCTGGAGATTTCAAAGAGATCTGGGAGGGATGAAATCTCCAATCCTGGGACCAGGTTTTGGGAATGGCCAGGAGACTGATTGCACAGGTGTGTGCAGACCTTTTCATAGAGTCAGGACCAGGGTTCTGGGCTCCACCCTGGAAGACAGGAGTCAGGAGGGCTCCACCAAGGAGAGGTGGAAGCCAATAGCAGCAAGGGGCTGCTAGAGACTAGCTGTGTGCAAGAGGCATAATTCTTGAAGAAGTCTTCAGGAGACAGACATCAAGCTAAGTATAAGCCAGGAGGCTGAATCGTTGTTTTGTTTGATGGTGGATACCCCTGCGTGGGAAGCTTTATGTTATGGGACATTTGTTTAAATAAAATTGGGCAAAAAGGCCCTTAAAGAAGCGAGTCGCTGTGTGCTTTAAATGAAAAGCTATACCACTTTTAAGCGAGTTCCCACAACGTGCATAACTTATTGACACACAAGGTTTTCATTTTCGAGTGTGGTCTTCTTGGAGCTACAGTATTTACATTTAAGTAGAGCTCCCTTTTCGATTGAAAGGCTTTAACTCAAACATTACACACAAAAAATCCATTACAAATAACAAATATGAAGGCTGGTTTTGCACTTGTGTTTCTACTTTCGTTAGCAACATTATGTGTGTTTTATGCCCTGCCATTGTTATGAATTGGCCTTTTTTTTTTTTTTTTTTGATCACTTAAAATGTTATTGATTTCAAGAAAGAAGTGATACAGAGTAATAAAAGCATTTAGAAAAGCTGTAAATACATTTCTGAACACATGGCATACAGGTAACAAAATAATAGGTATGTATACAGGATGTACATCAGTAAGGATTGCTGTGCATCCTGACCCGCGTATCAACCAATAAACTACAGAAGATACGATAAATCAATTCAAGCAGTATATTGTCATAATGTGATCATAGATGGGGATAATCAGATGGACTTCACCATAGATATTTCAGTGACAGAATTGGCCATATTATTTATATTGGCACATTAAGGCATCAGAAAGCAGACAACACGTCGCAGAAATGTGAACTAGGGCCATAAGCATTGGAACACCCAGCAGGTTTTTATTGCTGTGTGTGTCTCCCTTAAGGGGAGACCCTCTTTATTTGTCCTGTTTACGGTTATTACCAAAAGTGAAAGTAAAAGAAAATCCCCAATTCTGGGTTGTCACCAGAACATGATTAGTGGGGAAAACTTTCAATGGGGACACTGTTTCTGGTAACAACCAGGAATTGCCTCACTTGAGAGGGATTTCTTCTTGCTTCCTGTTTTGGATATGGGACAGGAAGCAAAGAGAATGCCCGATGGGAAATTTAGGTTAAAAACCAAAAGAAAAGCAGGAAAATAAAAGTTTTGCCTATAGTTCTACTGTAATATATTTTCCTTGTCACTAAAAACTGTCAGATTAGACCAGTGTTTCTCAACTTTTTTCAGTCAAGGCACCCTTTAAAATTATGGACAGTCTTGAGGCACCCTTTAAAATTATGGACGGTCTTGAGGCACTCCATTCCAAAATGGGGTACCTCAAGACTGTCCAGAATTTGAAAAGGGCACCCCATTCTAAAATGTGAAAAAGTATTCTGATAGTTTTATATAACACAGCAACATCCACATACTTAGGACACACAACATTTGAAGTGATTTATTCTTCTAAGGCAAATACACTTTTGCACACTGGTACTGACTAGTATTCCAGTGTTTCTCTTCTCCCTCCATTTTTCTCAATCACTGAGCTGATGTGACCCCAGCATTGATGGAGAGGGGCAGGGGAGGGTCAACCTAGGATGCTGTGCAGGAAGCGGACATCCTCCTTATCAAATGATGGTCATTGGTTGTCAGAACGCCGATGGCCAGAAGGTCGTAATGGTGCACAATGAAAACCTGTGGTTTTGTGTAACTAAAAGGCAGGCTTGTTCCACCCATTGGCTTGTATACAAGTTTTGAGCAATTTGTAGACATTTTGCCAGGGCACCCCTGAAGAAACCTCAAGACACCCTGGTTTAGAATGGCTGGATTAGACAACCTACACTCTGCAGTGCTGAACTCAGCATAAGGAGTGCTAACTGCTACTCAGGAAAGGGTTACTATTATGCTCACTTTTAGGTCTCATTCACACAGATGTACCAACCTGTACACCAGTACAAAGGGTTGTCTTCACCCACATGGGATCCACAGGTGTTCTTTGTAGACATGTGCAGGCAGCCTGATCAAAGCAATGACAGGTAGTCAGTCAGTCGCACGAATTTCAAACTTACCCCGGAGCGCACATCTATGCGGAGCTGATGCAGATGTGTACTCCGGGATTCACTTGGAAATCCATGCAGGTCCATGAAACCGGTCATTTATTTAAACTGGCTATCCGCACACATATGAATCCCTTGAGGGTGAAAGAGAACCTTCACACTGCTGTACAGATAGGTACACCCATGTGAATGATGACTTAAACATAAACCGAAGCCCTTGCAAATAGCTTTTGATTGAATTATAAATGTAGCTGTGCAAGAATTTTTTTTATTGTTGTGTTTAATAAATGCCTGTTGATCCTGCTAGTTTCTGCTCTTTCTGGGGCCTTCCTAAACAATTAGCCGCCCGGCCTATAGCCGTTTGGCGGCCGCAAAAATGCTCTAGCTTTCCGGGTGTACGCCATTTGGCGTCCTCCTGCACATGCGCAGTTTAGCGCGGTTTGCAGAGCCGTGTAGCGGCGCGATCTGAGTACCGGCCCCTGTTACCGTACCATGTGACCTGCTGTGACCAATCACAGCAGGTCACATGACAGTTGTATACAATGGATGGCTTCATTCATGCCATCCATTGTATACTAGTGTCTAGCTGTGAATGGTCACAGCAGGTCACATGCACATGTCATGTGATGTGATTAGCTGTGGCCAAATAACAGCTAAGCACAAAAAAAAAAAAAAAAACCTGAATGAATCGATTTCATTCAGGTAAATGCTTGCTTATAGCAAAGTAATTCTTTGCTATAAGCAAATTGTGTAAAAAAAAAAAAAATACTGATCACTTCCCCAAAGTAGTACACTGTTACTATGGTAACATTGTACTACTTTGGTCATAGTAAAATATGAAAAAAAATCTTAAAAAAAAAAAAAAAAATGTAATAAAAAATAAAAAAAATATATATATATTTGTTTTTCATACTGTCACCAGTCAGTGTCCCTGATCACAGCCATGCCAGTTATATGATGATGCTGTACTGCACTGGTGACAATATGTATGTAAAAAAAAAAAAAAATAGTGAAAAATTATTTTTTAAATTTTTTAATTTTCCGAAAAATTATGACAAGAAAAAAAAAAAATACAACTTCAAAAAACTCGCCATGCCTCTTATGAAGTACGTCGGACTGTCTACTCTGCAAAAAGGGGTCATTTGGGGATATCTGTACTGTTCTGACATTCTTGGACCTCAAGATATTAGATTGGCTGTCAGTACTTCAGGATTGATCAATATTCAGATCTATACCATAGTTTGTGAACTCTATAACTTTCCTACAAACTAAATAATACATCCTAATTTGGGTTATTTTCACCAAAGACATGTAGCAGAATATACATCTCGGCCTAAATTTATGAAGAACAATTATTTATTTGTAAACTTTTATAACAGAAACAAAGAAAAACGTGTTTTGTTTCAAAATGTTTGGTCTTTTTTTTGTTAATTTAGCAAAAAATAGAAACCCCAGCGGTGATTAAATACCACCAAAAGAAAGCTCTAGTTGTGTGAAGAAAATGCTACAATTTTAATTTGGGTACAATGTTGTATGACCGCGCAATTGTCATTCAAAGTGTGAGAGCGCTGAAACATGAAAAATGTCCTGGGCAGGAAGGTGTAAAATTGCCCGGTATTGAATTGGTTAACAGGGTGACCACCAGCATCAAATGCTGCAAGAATATTGCCAACCTTCCACATTAATGAAAGGCAGCTGTGCTTACATCCAAACTGTTGCATTAATTCCTCCTACCAGTTGATTGATAGCCGCCCCCCCCTCCCCCCTCCCCCCCCCCCCCCCCCCCCCCCCCCCCCCCCCCCCCCCCCCCCCCCCCCCCCCCCGATGTAAATGCACACGTCATGATCCCAAGTTCTATAAATGTCCCCCCATGGATTTATATTTTCTTAGTGGTGTATTTTTTACTTGCTTTCATTTTGAGTACACCACCATTGTACTTTAATTTATAAAAAATCCCCCCCCCCCCCCCCCACAGCTAATTTACACAGGTATTTAAACATTACCTTAAGGGCCAGTTCACACTACATGCGTTTCAGTTGCTTTTTTTCTGCATCCAGAAATTCATTCACAGAAAGTAGGTGATGTGGTTGTCAATGTCATATTTCACATCAGTGCTTGCAGTTCCAGTGTGTTCCAGTTGCAGAAAAAATTAGAACAGGTTGCATTTTGTCTGCACAGAACTGCACTGGAACGCGATAAAACGCATAAAAAATGCACTGGAACACCCATGTCCATATTTTAATTAAAGAAAAAGAGGGGAAAAATGAACTGGAATGCATAAAAAAAACGCACTGCGACATGGAAAAAACGCATTAAAAATGTACCAGAATGCGCCAAAAACACGCATGCAAAAACACATCTGGAATGCGTCTGGACTGCGTTTCTATAGTGTGAACCAGCCATAAGGGCCATTTCACACTACATGCATTTCAGTTCCATTTTTCTGCATCCAAAATGCACAGAAAGTAGATTATATGGTTGTCAATGTCATAGTTCACATCAGTGCTTGCAGTTCCAGTGCGTTGCAGAAAAAAAAAAAAGTAGAACATGCTGCATTTTTTCTGCACAGAACTGCACTGGAATGTGGTACAATGTATCAAAATGCACAAAAAAAAACCCAAAACGCACTGAAACGCACACATGTCCCTATATAAATTGAAGAAAAAGAGGGGGAAAATGAACTGGAATGCATAAAAAAAAAACGCACTGGAATAAAAAATGCATAAAAAATGCATGCAAAAACGCACTGGAATGTGCCAAAAACGCATCTGGAATGTGTTTCTAAAGTGTGACCGGCCCTAAGGACTAGAACACCTTTTTTCTGCATCAAAAATGCATGCACAAGTGTTTTCCATGTATTCCAATGGCCCTAGTTTACACCAGTGCAGACAGTTTCAAGTACAGAAAAAAAAAAAAAGAACTTGCTGCATTTTTTTCTGCACAGAACTGTATTAGAACGTGGTAAAATGTATCAAAAATCACACCGCAATGCACCAAAACGCACTGGAACGCACATGTCCCTATATGAATTGAAGAAAAAGGGAAAAATGAACTGGAATGCATAAAAAAAACGCACTGGAACACAAAAAAAAATGCATAAAAAAACGCATCAAAAATGCATCAAAACCGCACTGGAATGTGCCAAAAACGCATCTGGAATGTGTTTCTAAATAGTGTGAACTGGCCCTAAGGACTAGAACACTTTTTTTTCTGCATCAAAAATGCATGCACAGTGTTTTCCATGTATTCCAATGGTCCTAGTTTACACCAGTGCAGACAGTTCCAAGTGCAGAAAAAAAAAAGTAGAAACATGCTGCATTTTTTCTGCACAGAACTGTATTAGAACGTGGTAAAATGTATCAAAAATCACACCGCAACGCACCAAAACGCACTGGAAAACGCACATGCCCCTATATAAATTGAAGAAAAAAGGGAAAAATGAACTGGAATGCATAAAAAAAAATGCACTGGAAAACAAAAAAAAATGCATCAAAAAAAAAAACGCATCAAAAATGCATCAAAACCGCACTGGAATGTGCCAAAAACGCATCTGGAATGTGTTTCTAAAGTGTGAACTGGCCCTAAGGACTAGAACAACTTTTTTTTTCTGCATCAAAAATGCATGCACAGTGTTTTCCATGTATTCCAATGGTCCCTAGTTTACACCAGTGCAGACAGTTCCAAGTGCAGAAAAAAGAAAAAAGTAGAACATGCTGCATTTTTTCTGCACAGAACTGTATTAGAACGTGGTAAAATGTATCAAAATCACACCGGAATGCACCAAAACGCACTGGAACGCACATGCCCCTATATAAATTGAAGAAAAAGGGAAAAATGAACTGGAATGCATAAAAAAACGCACTGGAACACATAAAAAATGCATAAAAAAAAACGCATCAAAAATGCAAAAAAACGCACTGGAATGCACATGTCCCTAAAAATTGCAAGGGAAAATGTGAAGTGGAAAGCATAAAAAAAAACTGGCCCTAAGAAAAACGTAAAAAATGCATCAAAAATGCATGGAAGTGCCAAAAACGCACTGGAATGTGTTTTCTAAAAGTGTGAACCGGCCCTAAGGACTAGAACTTTTTTTCTGCATCAAAAATGCATGACAGTGTTTTCCAATGTATTCCAATGGCCCTAGTTTACACCAGTGCAGACAGTTCCAAGTGCAGAAAAAAAATTAGAACATGGCAAAATGTATGCAAAAACTGTATTAGAACCGTGGTAAAATGTATCAAAAACACACCGGAACGCACCAAAAAACGCACTGGAACGCACATGTCCCTATATAAATTGAAGAAAAAGAGGGCATGGAATGCATAAAA